GGTGGAATGCTCCCAGCAAGACAGGCTGGAGGCAGTGGAAATGTCATGTCTCAGGGCAATGAGTGGTGTAAATATTATGCAGAGAATTCATAGTGTGGAAATTAGGAGGAGGTGTGGAGTTGCTAAAAGTATTATTCAGAGGGATGAAGAAGGGTTATTGAAGTGGTCTGGTCATTTAGAGAGGATGAAACAAAATAGGTTGACTTGGAGGATGTATAAATCTGTACTGGAAGGGAGAGGGGTAGAGGTCATCCTAGGAAAGGATGGAGGGAGGGGGTAAAAGAGATTGTGAATGCAAGGGGCTTGGACACACAACAGGCATGTGTGAGGTTGTTAGATAGGAGTGAATGGAGAGGAGTGATTTTTGGGACTTGACAAGCTGTTGAAGTGTGAGCAGAGTAATATTTTGAGAAGGGATTCGGGGAAACCAGTTAGCTGGACTTGAATCCTGGAGATGGGAAGTACAATGCCTGCACTCTAAAGGAGAGGTTTGGGATATTGGCTGTTTGGAGTGACATCTAAACTGTCATATCTGGGCACCTCAGCAAAGACAGTGATATTGTGTGAATGATTGTGAAAGTGTTTCTTTCTTTTTTGGGTCTCCCTGCCTCAGTAGGAGATGGCCGTCATGTTAAAAAAAATAATAATATAGTAGTGATAATATAATTCTAACAATAAATCTTCGTTTCCAAAAAGTACAAAATTATTGTGATTTAACAGACACCTGGACAATCTTTCTCTACTAGTGCTTTATATAGAGGGTTTACAGTAGTGTGTAATATATGATACTAAACTTTTATGGATGTAAGGTTTTAAAGCACAATGAATATTCTCTCCCAACTGTTTGTATATAGGCAGTACATATAAATTAGGCATGGTGTATGTTACATAAATTTTGGAAAATATTTAAAAAGGTTGAGTGTCGTAAGAGGCGACTAAAATGCCAGGAGCAAGGGGCTAGTAATCCCTTCTCCTGTATACATTACTGAAGTTATGAAGAGAAACTTTTGTTTTTCTTTTTGGGCTGCCTTGCTTTGGTGGGATATGGTCAGTTTGTTGAAAGAAGAAGATTTAAAAAGGTGTCTATTGAACAAGATTGTCACTTGAAACATTCTGGTTTACCAAGACAGGTGAAAGGCTGGAAAAGGTGCTATTCCTGGCCACCAACAAGCAGATAAAAAAAGCCACATCATGTGCTACCCAAATTTCACACATTACGTGATTTTTTTTAATGATTTATGTAGCATAATATCAAAGTTCTCCTGTGTAATCCAATTTTTTGGTTGCACCCACTGAACTGAGTTGCAAGAAAACTGGGTAATGTTAAGATGAGTTGTTAGATGATTTACTGTATACGTACAGTACACGCAAGTTGAAACAATTGTCATTATTTTTAACAATTTCTTACTGCAAGCATGTGGCAACTACTTTGGGTATATGAGAATGAAACACATGTGGAAGTCTTTGTCAAAAGTTTCAGGTGTTCCCTCAAATGTTTACAAACTTGAAGACATCTGAAATGTCCAGGTAATTCTATGATACACCCTCTAAAATAACAGAAAATATACTGTACTTACAAGAGTAATAGGGATTGTACAGCCATGAATCCACTTGATTAATAATGGCCTGGCTGATCAATGCTTCAAATTTGCGAGCAAAGAAAAGGTTGCGTGATGCTGAAGCCTGAAATATTAATTTTTTTTTTAATACACTGTATATGGGTGTGAAGCTTGGGTTGTGAATGCAGCAGCGAGGAGGCAGTCGGAGGCAGTGGAGATGTCCTGTCTAAGGGCAATGTGTGGTGTAAATATTATGCAGAAAATTTGGAGTGTGGAAATTAGGAGAAGGTGTGGAGTTAATAAAAGTATTAGTCAGAGGGCAGAAGAGGGGTTGTTGAGGTGGTTTGGTCATTCAGAGAGAATGGATCAAAGTAGAATGACATGGAGAGCGTATAAATCTGTAGGGTAAGGAAGGCGGGGTAGGGGTCGTCCTCGGAAAGGTTGGAAGAAAGGGGTAAGGGAGGTTTTGTGGGCGAGGGGCTTGGACTTCCAGCAGGCATGCATGAGCGTGCTTGATAGGAGTGAATGGAGACAAATGGTATTTGGGACCTGACGATCTGTTGGAGTGTGAGCAGGGTAATATTTAGTGAAGGGATTCAGGGAAACCGGTAATTTTTATATAGCTGGACTTGAGTACTGGAAATGGGAAGTACAATGCCTGCACTCAAAAGGAGGGGTTTCGGGATATTAGCAGTTTGGAAGGATATGTTGTGTATCTTTATACGTATATGCTTCTAAACTGTTGTGTTCTGAGCACCTCTGCAAAAACAGTGACTATGTGTGAGTGAGGTGAAAGTGTTGAATGATGAAAGTATTTTCTTTTTGGGTCACCCTGCCTCGGTGGGAGATGGCCGACTTGTTAAAAAAAAAAAAAAAATCTAGTATACCAGTAAGAATTAATGTTCCATTTGCAATTATAGAAAAAACACTAAATATTATAAATGATTAATTTATTATATGCTATGATAATCTCAAAGTATTTAAAAAAAATACTGTATTAATGCATAAACCAGCCAATACATCCAAGTTAACAGTCTCTAAACGTACTCTTTTTTTTTTTTAACACCCACCATCTTCCACCAAGACAGGGTTTTCTTGGATGCCTTCATAAATGTTAACTTGCTCATACTCAAATAGCACCACATCATACCATAAAAACAATTTGTCTCCACTCATTCTCACTTATCATGTTTGCACAAGCTTATTTGATGCACAAGCCCTTAGAAATCAAAACATTCTTTACTTCCTCCTTCCAACAGTTCCAGGGAAAAACCCATACACTGTCCCTTATACCCCAAGATTTATACACCCTCTTGGTCGTCTCATTCTGCTCCCATCCTCTCTAAATGCCCAGCCCACCTCAAAAAACCCTTTTCTTTAGACCTCTGATTTAAATACCTTTGGAAACCCCCACACCATCTTATAATCCCATGTTTTCCCAAAACCTCTGCATATTTATTCACACCACAGCTGCTCTAAAACACATCTCCACTGCCTCCAGTCTTTTTTTTCAACTGCACCATTTAAAGAAAATGCCTTTACACCCATATAAAAATGTTGATACTACTACTCTGGTACATTTAAATCTATCACAATAATCTTAATTAACACAGACTATTGCACAAGAGGGGTTTTTAAAAGATTGAATACCTTCCATGAATTCAATAAAATTTTCATAACTAACCTCAAGCTTAGTCCAATCTCCAGGAATGAAATCATTAGGTGAGCATCCACACCAGTCAACTATATGTTTATACTGGCACTTGCAGCCAAGTTTCCTTTTCCAGTTAGTTACATGAAGGTTGTTATCTGTGAAGGTCTGGCAGAATCGAGAGTTGCGGAGCACAGTATGAAAGAACGACTGGAAAAATAAGAGCGTGTGTGTGTGTGTTATCTCCAAAACATGGACAACATGCTAGTTTTCACTGACTCGGCATTAATCATTTTATCATCTTACATCATACAGGTTATTCTCCTCTTATGTTTAAAATCAGGTCAAGAAATACATGAAGAAACAAAAAGTCTAGTGATTAACCAGATCATTCCTAGAAAATTAACTAAAAAATTTATTAAGAGTAAAATGGCAAACATTATACAGAGCTCTTATAAAGCTCCTTTATAGAGTGTTAAATTTTTTGCAAATGCAATTTAAAAAGTGCATTCAAAACTACATAGCATGTACTATGAAGGTCTTTTCACATGCCATTCAATTTTGGATCCACTTTTCATTTTCATTTAGAAAAACTGCACAATGTGCAAGAGCTTTATAAGAGACCTGATTGTACTGCTAATCCAAAACTGTGATAGAAAAGACCCTTTAAACTACTATTGGCATCTCACTGACAAGTGTTGCCACCCAAACACGAAAGTCATATGATCAAAGTTGATAGAACATCTGGAGAGCAAAATTTTGCTGCCCAACAGTTTGGCTTCAATTAAACAAAATCAGGCATGAAATGGACTGGTTGACTGCATCTACTTATGCTAGGAATAAAAGGAAAACTATTACAGCAAATCAGTGATTTCTTGCTTAAAATGCACATGTGAGCAGTGATAAGGGGAGAAAATGTCTGTGACAAAACTGTCCTACAAAACCACTCGAGACAGCCTACACAGCAGACATGGATGCACAGGTCTACATCATCCCCTGTACCGAATGTGATTGACTTTACATAGTTGAAACTGCTAGACTTCCCATATGCCTGCACAAATACAAATATGCCTGCAGAATGAAAAATGCCAACAAGAAAATGACAAAATTAAATGCAAGTGTTTACAGTCATCTGCAATCAAACTAAAGAACACCATATAACAAAATTGAGGAATATTTGCTCTGGCAACTCCTATAACATCTTGAAATAAAAGAAATTTACTGTGGAACAGCAGGCCTTTTGCAGTGTAATTACTCAGCAAATTTAGACATTAACAGGCCCATGCTAGGCAGATCTTACTCAAACCAACTCTTCTCAACTCAAATATTTTTTCAAATCTATTTTTAAAGCTACATCTGACCACTTGCCCCACAGGCTCCTCATTGCTCTATATACTTGATAAAGCATTTCACTCACAAGTAAGCTTTATCAAGTATATAGAGCAATGAGGAGCCTGTGGGGCAAGTGGTCAGATGTAGCTTTAAAAAATAGGTTTGACAAATATTTGAGTTGAGAAGAGTTAGTTTGAGTAAGATCTGCCTAGCATGGGCCTGTTAATGTCTAAATTTGCTGAGTAATTACACTGCAAAAGACCTACTGTTCCACAGTAAATTTCTTCTATTTCAAGATGTTATAGGAGTTGCCAGAGCAAATATTTACCATTACCGGAAAAGTAACAAGTTATAATGATAAAGCAAACAGAACAGTAATTTTGCACTAGTTACTGCACAAAAGTTGAATGTAAAGGCAATAACAATGGCAGGATCACTCTACCAAACAGTGTGTGTTCTTCATGTACCCTGTTACTGTTCTACAATAAAGTTCATCCACTATCTGACTCTGCTCAATTTAAAATGCCTTTTTTTTGTAGGAATTTACACACATATCAACGAACACTTACCTCAGCAGGTAATAATGTATATGAATAAACCTTTTTGAGGCCTATCACAAGCTGATCCTGACTGTTTACTACATAATCAACAAAATTGCGATTAAGACACAGCCAGTCACTCCCACCATCCACACGTATTCCTGTTGAAGAAGCATACAAGAACAAGATTATTAACTTGACAACAGAAAAAATCAAGTTACATACAATATTAGATGACCCAGCAAATTGAATGTAATCCAGACTTTTGAAAAACTCATTATACCTAATGCAAAAAGGGTACTTAAGATGGGTTCTAACTATAAAGATGTAATGCATTCATGATTTTTTTTTTTTTTTTTTTGCAAGTCAAGTGTTTGGAACTTGGAACCTAATTTTCCATACACACCCTTGTTATAATCAAATATACATTACCAAGTCATAATATTCCACAAGTAATTTTATATATGCTTTTAAATATGAATATTTACCCAATATTTTACATTCAGTATTGTTCCTTTTCACTTACAAACTATATAAAACACTGTTTTTTGACTAGAATTAATGCATGTATTAATTCTAGTCAAAAAAAAAAAAAAACTTTCCAAAGCCAATGAATCCTCCTTCCCAAGTACTGATACTGTGAACTAAATCATTTATTTCTTTGAGTAGGAACTATTTTTGCAAATATTCCTGAGATTCAAAGCACCATCAGCAGCTATCTGACTTCATCCACCTGAATCCAATTACAGCCTATTAAATAGGATCAATTATTAATCCTTTCATTGTTACGACCCTTGAAATTAAAAGTGCTGCAGTTTAAAAACAAAAAATCTTTTATAATGGTAGAGGAGCTTTTTCTAAAGGTAAAGGCACAAAATATACAAAATTTTATGAAACTTATAGAATTATGCAGGCATAAAGTTGGTAGTCTGGGCACAATTTACACATCAGGGGTTTTGGGCCTTTTTTT